TCGCCTTAATTCTTTGTTTTTACTTATGAGTGTTGAGAACTCCAGAAACCTTTGTATATTGGCAAATTTAAAGCTTTACTCAAGAAAGATGAGAATATCGTGGCATTTACTACATTCCTAGCAGCTAAATTCGGTTGGCGGTACAAGCGTGGTTCAGCGAAAATTAGAAAAATAATAGACATGCCACCCCTGTGTTGCGTATGACACTGTATGTCGATGGGTACTGTGGTGACACTCAGATGGTGCCGTGTTCAAATCAGTACAGTGCGCTATTGCGCTGACACCACACGTGGCGCCGGCGTTATTGAAAAATTGTGCTATCACCCATGTCTATACTGCTATCAAGTGCAGCTGAATTGCCGCTATTTAAACTTGACAGCGTGGTTGTTGTTGTCAATTCTATACATGCATTTGCTTTACAGGCTCTTCCTAAACTATGTATTTGTCAACGTTATTTTGGCTTATTAACATTTAATTTTAATATTCTTATTGAGCTTTGTACCACGATTATTTTATTAGGAAAAATGGAAAAAGCAACAAAGTTTAAGCGGTAAAAGTTATAGCAGCTAATTCGGAGATCACCAAATCTCCTCATCAGACTTCTTTTTTCTAGACTTTCAGCAGGGATCGAACCCGCGTCATCGATGTGCAAAGTCACAAGCGTTAACCACTGAACTATGCACACCCCATAAACTCGTGTTGCTAATTCATTTTCCTTATTCAACCTACTGCTATCAAGTGCACTGATTTGCCGCAATTTAAACTTGACAGCGTGGTTGTTGTTCTATACATGCATTTGCTTTATTGTATAATTTTCAGACAGGCTCTTCCTAAACTATGTATTTTTCACTGTTATTCTTATTGAGCTTTGTACCCCGATTATTTTATTAGGAAAAATGGAAAACGCCACATAGTCAAGGCGGTAGAAGTTATAGCAGCTATTTCGTAGATCACCACATCTCTTTATCAGACTTCTTTGGTATGCGAAGAAGATGTAGCCCTGTGGACGTACAACTTTTGAGGGATTTCGCCGACCTAAACGGGGTTAGATCGCCGAAACAACAGCCCACCACAACCACAGGGCAACAGCCTGTAACGGACTTCGGAGCAAGATCGAGGAGATAACAGTCTTTATGGGTCGGCACGGAATATTAATAGCTGCGGTCTAAGAGACGAAGCTGCATTGCAATTTAACATTGTTGAATTGCGCCGGATACAACGTGCACCGTCGAGATCGCGAGCGGGATAATGGTGGTGGCCTAGCGTTCATGCGCCTCTTGTTTTCACCAGCGCACAGAGGAGTATTTGCATTGTAAAACCGGTCGAAAGTTATTTGGTGTGTGTTTTCTGCTAAGTAATTAAATACAACACGGAAATTAATCATAATAAGACATTTATATTAGAAAAAATAATAGTTACACTTACTGTAGAAGCATTTTCTGGCGTATTAATGCATCAGATACCATAAGCCCACATATACCTAATCACATTTCCTGCGTATCCATTGGTGTAAATAGGTATTTTAAATACATATATATAAATAAATATCTTCATATACATACATTAAAAAATATTTTCTTGTAAGATGTATTACGTATGACACTTTAAATACATAAAGTAAAATTAAAATTAAAAAATTAAGCATCATAACCCGATTCCTCATTTTCATCCTGATCACTGCTTTCGTATAGCTCATTTAGCACTTCCGGAAGCAGAAGACTTATCGTTTCGGAAGAAAATGGCTTACTCTTCTTACGGGTTGTGGTCTACTGCTGCTTATAAATGGGTCCAATTTTAAAAGAAGCCTGTTCAAAATGTCTCTATTACACTGAACTCTTGAAAATTTCCGGGAAAAGTTTTGTCTGTAGAGCCTGAAGTGCTTGTTTCTTGCTTCAGCATCTTCTTCTGAGAGTTGTCCAATCGGCAGTATTGAATGTGCAATAACACGAGCACCATGCATTGAAATTGTATGCACAGTAGGTGACATTGGGTGCCACCCGTATAGTTGCACGTACAGTTCAGCAGTTTCGTTTGCATATACCTCAAACTTCTTCTCGTCAATCATATGGCCGCTTGAAACACTACTTTAAATTTGTGAATCAAGTTTTCATCTAAGTCAGTAATCCGGGAAGCTGTTTGTGGATCTGCAAAGAATCTCCTCGATGTGTTCCCATGATTTGTGTTGCCGAATCCTGCTTTTGGGATGGCCACTAAAAGAACCATTTCGACTTTGAATGCTTTTTGAATTTTTTCTTTCCTTTTACTATTTTTTTGTTTTCATCTGTTCTTATTTGCCATTTTCTCAGAGTTTATAAGAGAGGTATAGTAGTGACTCAAAGAGTCTTATCCTTGCGTGCAGTATTGAAAGCCCAAATCTCAGTGCTTCAGCAAAAGCAAGGATTTTAACGATTTTTTTTTTAAATTGCAGATATTGATCTACTGAATCGATCTATTGAACTAAACGTCAGTAATTGTTTATTAATAATTAATTATTGTTTATAAACAAAAAACAATTTTTTTTTTCAAATTGATTTTTTTCGAATTGCCACATCTTTTTTTCTCTCAAACTTTTTTGTCTATTAGGGAATAGTATAAGCTATTTTCCGTACGAGTAGCAATATGCTAAAATTCATCGTTTTCGAGTTATGATTTTTTTTCTGAAAATGCACTTATATGATGCTAGCAGATTTTCGTGCCAGTTGAGGGCGCAAAAATTGTTGCCCATTATGATAAAGTTTCCTTGCTGAAAATTTTTTGAGGTTGTCCGATCAGAGCCAAAAGTTTTTCCCAATTGGGCTCTAATTTTGGCCCAATTGGGGCCCAATTAGCGATTTGCCCAATCTACCGAAGATTTCCCCAACCAGTGCTCACAATTTGCTCAAAGTGAACATGCATACGCAATTAAAACGTTTTTATCGATAAAATCACACATACACACATCAAAATTGCCTACGAAAAAAAAAAATTGTTTTTTCTTGAAAAATTTCCCATACAAATTTTTTTATAAAAAAAAAATTAGTTTTTGAAAATATGCCATCTCAAAAAAAAAATTGGAAAAAATCACAATGGTAGCTCTGAGTATTGCGCAATATTTAAGTATAATGTTATGGGGTGCACTCTACAATAATTTGAGTTATGAATTTTTTTTTTACACCGACATTGACTAAAATGAGTACAAATGAGAACCCAATTGGGAAAAACTTTTGGCTCTAATCGGGCAACCTCAAAAAATTTCCAGCAAGGAAACTTTATCATAATGGGCAACAATTTTTCCGCCCTCAACCGGCACGAAAATTTGCTAGCATCATATAAGTGCATTTTCAGAAAAAAAAATCATAACTCGAAAACGACGAATTTTAGCATATTGCTACTCGTACTGAAAATAGTTTATACTATTCCCTAATAGACAAAAAAGTTTGAGAGAAAAAAAAGATGTGGCAATTTGAAAAAAATCAATTTGAAAAAAAAAACATTTTTTTTGTTTATAAACAATAATTAATTATTAATAAACAATTACTGATGTTTAGTTCACTAGATCGATTCAGTAGATCAATATCTGCAATTTAAAAAAAATCCTTGAAATCCTTGCTTTTTTGCGGCAGTTATAAACGATTTCATCAAAAGTTGCTATTAAGAGAGGAAAAAAGAAGCGTTCGTACTCAAAAAGAAAAAAATTCATTATTCGAAAAATTCGCATTTCTGAGCAAAAACGTGTCTCCTTAAATTCTTCAAGGAACAATCCCTGTGAGTTTTATCGCAAACTTAAATTCACTTTCCCCCGGCCTGGGTGATTTGAGATGGAATGAGCCTTAAGGAAAGAGCGATACTGGTCGCACCAGTGTTGCTACTTTGTGAG